AGATAAATCCCAACCCTAAACAGTTTTTTAAAGAAAATGTTTTTCATTTTTTATTAAAATAAAATGTATTGTTATCAATGGTCGAGTGTTATTTAATATAGAAAACCCTAATTTTTATAAAAACGCTAAATTATAAAAATACATGTTTTGTTTTAATAATACAGGGTGTTTCAGACTTGTGGTGCCAAAAGCTCGGAGGAGATTCCTCTCATCAAAATATGAAAAAAAGTTCCTATGAACAAGTGTCCGAAAATGCTTCGTTACCGAGATACAGGGTGTTTTATTTAAGTTTAAATTTGATACTTTTTTGTTACAAAAATAATCATAATAATGTATAAAAAAGTGTTTTTAAGCTATAAATAAAAAACTCAATTAAAAAAAAACAAACACCCTGTATCTCGGAAAAGAATCATTTTCGGACACATGTTCATAAAAACTTTTTTTCATACATGAGAGGAATCTCCCCTGAGCTTTTGGCACCACAAGTCTAAAATACCCTGTATATTACTTATTTTTTAAAACAAAACGATTTGTTAACAAAAAAAGATCATTTGTTTTTTATAAATAAATATATTTTTTTTAAACAAAAATTTGATTCTTATAAATAAATAACTTATTTATTACGACTAATTGCTTTGGTTTTAATAACCAAAAACAAATTATTAAGTAAATATGACCAAATGTCTTGAAGCTAATCATTTGTTTTTAATAACGTAGCCGTTTGTAAGTCAAATACTGAATAAAGCATTTGGTTATAAAAATGCAGATTTGGTAATAAAAACCATTTTTTTCTCTCAGTGTGGAGCCTACACAACAAAACCTTCATGTATACAAATAGCTTCCTAAAATAAGAGGGCGCTGGTTTTTTGTTTGTTGTTTTGTTTGTACCGAAACAGTACCAAAACAGCAGACATCAGTATCTGACGTCTAAACTTTACACAATGTAAATCAGCGCTAAAAAAAAAGAAAACCTAATATCAATTTTCCTTCCAGACTCCTTGTGTAGGATCCACGGAGTAATGTTTAGCTGCAGTCAACCAACTTTTTCCTATGACTAAAACATCATAATGTCACAGCTTGTCAATTTGTATTTAAAAGATGACTTAGTATCATTGAAACATGTACAATAAAGGGCGTTTTAAAGGTGGGAGTTAAAAAAATATATTTTCTAAATGTAACACAAATTAAATATAAAAATATATATACCTGTCCATCCCTTGGAGTATACACACTATTATAGGATGCAGTTAAATTGTTTGAAACTAAAATGGTTTAACATTTTTAGGTATAAAGCAAATTTGTATACTTATGTATTGCATTAAATTTACCTGATAAACTAATTAAACACAGCAAAACCGTTGTAACATCATACATTTTGTTAGTTGAATGATATCTAAATGATTTTATGGAAGGTTAATTTGCAAAGTATATAGGTACTTACTTAATTTTGATTTGCGATAATTTTTTATGATTTATGGCCGTATTTACCAAGTTAAGGAGTAGTTTTTTCTATAACTTCATAAATAGCATATTATGTTTTTAGATTTATAAACGCCATTTCAGTTACGAGTTTTATTAGGAACGAGCGAAGCTTGCGAGCAAGTGTTTAATAAAAATAAGTGTCTAGAGAAGTTTATAAAACGAGTTGCATACTATACTTTATCTACGAAAAACAGAAATAAGAATTTAAAGCCAATTTTAATTTATAGATACTTGACATCAGACGAATTTAACCTCACTTTTTCGCAATTTATGACATCAGCCCGTGATTAAAAATCCCAAAAGCTACTCTTGTTAACATCAGCCCGTGACTAAAACGCCATAAAGTCACAGCTTGACAATGTAGGAGTAGATAAAATAATTATTATTGCAATATTTTTTATCTTTTTGAAATTTGTTTTAATAAAAAATATTAAAATAAATATTTATTTATTATTTAAAACAAAATTCAAAAGAGAAAAATATAATACATAAAAAGTTATTTTTAGGAAGTTTATATAAAAACCTACCTACTCTTTTAGTTAACTCCTTAAATATTATTATTCTTTTCCCCCCTTTAAAACGCCCATTATCGTACATGTTTCCATAACACCAAGTGACCTTTTAAATACATATAGCCACGGGCTGAAGTTAGTTTTAAGTTAGTTGAAAATTGTCAAATGTCATGCAATCGTTAAAATAAAGTGTCTTTCTTGTAAAATAATACTTAATGTGGAAATTATTTTATTATCTCAATAAAAAAATACAAAAATATTAAATAGTTTCTCAACGCCAATATTTGAAAAGTTTATATAAAGATTGTACTGACATTTTAATTTCGCCGGCAGTAAACTAGATTTAACTTAATTTCGGGCATAAAAAATAAGACACATCCATAGATTAGGCATTATAGATCTTAAAAGCGTTGATGAAGAATTTATTTAATTTATTTATCGATAAATATGACGTAGCTTTTAGCGACATCTGTACCAAGACCATTAAAACACTATAATCAGTCTTAAAAGTGTGTAGTTTATATTTACATTTTGTGGTGTTTTGTTTTGGTTAACTTGAAAAAAATAAACGAAATTAAAAAAATGTAGATTGTAGAATGGCTTGTTTTCTTCGTTAGGTCTTTGTAAGTTTATTAATTGTCTTTTCTTGGCGCCATAAACATTTCGGATTCAAGTTTTTTTAATGGCGAAGCTGACAGGTTCAACCTGACCTAAAAAATGTACATTTGCACTTTAGTAGCCCCCTTACTTTGACTGACAACGAGTCGCCACTGTACTGTACGATTCATCTTTCAGCCACACAAATGCGATGATTTTGACGCACATAAGTTATGTGACATAACAAACGTTAAATAATGTCGAAAAAAACAATCTCAAAATGCCATCTCAGTGTGCTTAGAAGGCATTTTAGAATAATATGATTTTGGGCCAAATCAATCATCCCTAGATTTTGCTGACTTTATTTGTTGTTAAGTTTACTTTTAAAAATCTTAGGAAATTTGTCGTCTTTGAGGTCTTAATCGAATGCGCTACATTTTTTTTTAAATTGCCTAATGGTCGTTTTCTAAATTTCGACCCATTTAGCAGGTCTTGGCATGACATGAAAAATTCAAATTATAGATTGTCCCCAAAAAATATATACCGGGTGTATCTGAGAATAGGCGCACCCCTGTAACTTTTTTATTTATTAAGATAGACACATGAAATATAGCACGGTTAATTAGGATATAAAACGCCACTTATAAGAGTAAAAAATGAATTTTTTGAACTTCCGGTTTGGCCGGAAATGATACCAACTTTCGATTTTTAAATGGAATGCCCTATATATTTTTACATATTTGGAATCCTGAGGAAATTCTGAGTCAGACAGCATCCTCAAATTGACCTTTTGACGTTTTGTCATAAAGATCAATCTAGTGTGCTTTGAACTACCTTATTTTCTTCTAATGGATTCGCACAATGCCTGAAAAATGGAACTTGCCTTAGAAAGTTGGTATTCAGCTATTCCCAGCCGTCTAAACTTGTCAAAATTCGGTTTTCTCAAATAGTTCAAAGCTCTCTAGATTGATCTTTATGATGATGCATTTTATGATGACGAAACGTCGAAAGGTCAGTTTGAGGATGCTGTCCGACTCAGAATTTTCTCAGGATTCTAAATATGTAAAAATATATAGGGCGTTCCATTTAAAAATCGAAAGTTGATATCATTTCCGGCAAAACCGGAAGTTCAAAAAATTCATTTTGTACTCTTATAATTGGCATTTTATATCCTAATTAATAGGGATGGGATTTTAGTTATTTTACCTTTTTTTAACCGATGTAACTATTTAAAAACCAATAATGCCAAAATGTGTTTTAAAAGATTTTCTTTTATATGAACCTAACTTGTTTTCACCTTTTTTACCTTTTTTGGAGGTTTTTGCTTTAAACTACCTTTTTTATACTTTTGTTATTTATTTTTTAACTTGTTTTCACCTTTTTTACCTTTTTTGGAGGTTTTTGCTTTAAACTACATTTTTATACTTATGTTACATATTTTTTAATTTGTCAGTTTATTTTTACCTATTTTTACGCATTTTTACTTATTTTATTTTTTTGTGTTCTTTTTAAACTTTGCGCCAATATTTTATCCAGGGCCTGCAACTCAACGGTATAGAATTTTTTTTATAATCACAGACTGTAGCAGTAACTTTCTTTACAGTTACATTATTTGTAGTGAGCTTATTTCTGTCATAAAACTTCTGTGTAGTGAGTGTCACTCAGTGAAACACAGTTTATTGCATAGAAATAGTTTATTGTGGGTATGTTCTGTGTTTGGGTATGCCGCTAAACAAAATTATAAACGAAACTTGAACTTTTAATGTTTTTTTTTACCTAAAATGCTGTTTTTTTAACCTAAAATGCTTTTTTAGTACCTTTTTAGTTACCTATTTTTCAGTTTTTAGTACCTAAATATCCCATTTTTACTAATTAACCATGCTAAATTTCATGTGTCTATCTTTATAAATAAAAAAGTTACAGGGGTGCGCCTATTTTCAGATACACCCGGTATATTGGTCAACGCGTTCAAAAATATTGGGGTGTTGCGGTCTTAAATCGTTAAATCGCACACACGGTATATAACTATAGTTATTAAAATAACATTAATTAGGCACCGAATAGTTACAAATACAGGAAAAATAATTATTATATTTCATGCTTATTTACATTTTTGTTGAACATAACAGTGTTGACAGATTAAAACTATTTTATAAAATACTAACTACTTATTTTTAAAAACAATTTTTTTAATGATGTTTCAATTGAATGCCATTTATCGTTAATCGCTGGCCACAAATGATCCTGTATTAATTAATACACCGGCTGACGTACCTACCTAAAACACGCATTCATGACGTACAAATTCGTACCTACATCAACTTCTTTTGCGCAACAACTTTTAACTAACTTTCTCCATGCTGAACGTAAAATCAATGCGCGCTCGGTTATTCTCGCCGAACAAGTAAACCTGACGATTATTTTATATAACAACCTATAAGCACGATACATCGTGCCTATAAGCGAAATTTAATTTATATATTAGTGACTTATTTACATTGCGTAGTGTTTTTTTTTGTTTTATAAGCTATGTAGCTGCATGGTTTACTGGAGGATTTGTTAAAAATATTCAGAGGATCAAGGTTAGGTTTAATCTTTTTTTTATTTTAATTCTGTTTTGGTTATGCTAATAGAGTTGGTTGTATGATACTGACACACTTACTTATCTGTTTTGATAATTTTACATTCCACATATGTTAATGGTTTAGTTAATATAATGGATTTAGTGAATAATTATGATAATCTATTCAATCTTTTAATAATAATTATTATAAAATTTTAGTTTTGGTTGGTTTCCTGTTAAAATATATTTGGTTGGGTTTCTGTTAAAATATATAGGTATTGTTGTATACATTTTATTATACTTAATAATGATTTACTAAATTAGTTTAAAGTTGTTTTTATCCAAAGAGATTAGTAAAGTAGGCTACCTAATTAAATTAAATGTATGTAGGTACCTACGTAATACAAAATTTAATTTATTAAAATCTTATTGGCGCATTTAAATTTTTTTTATTTTATTTTTTGTGTTTTTAGTGCAAAAATTTAACCGCCATAGCGTAAGGAGGTATACAAAAATTACATTTTTTTGATGAATAGTTTTTGTTAGGTATTAAGTATCTCCTGCGACAAGAAATCAATACGGTTGACAGTATATATTGAAATCATCATAACTGTGTTATTATAATAATAATAGTTGTATTGGCGGATTTTTTTTCTTGTTTTGGTATAATATGTATCAAGTTTTATAAACGCCAGTTTAATTAAGCACGAGCAAAGCTTACTAGCCAGAGTTTAATAAAAACAAGTGTCTAGAGAAGTTTATAAACGAGTTGCATACTATACTTTATCTACGACGAACACAAAACAGAATTTAAAGCCAATTTTAAAATAAATAAAAACTTTTTTCTAATTTATAATAAAGCTAACTTCAGCCCGTGACTAAAGCGCCATAAAGTCACAGGTCCTTAATGTAGGAGTATTATTATATGTACTTGTAAATAAATTTTTACTCTTTATTTCTTAACATCTTTATAAAATGGTTTTGAACTATTAATAGTATATTATTTATCAAGTTTGATAAACGTCACGAATTTTAATTAGGTACGAGCGAGCTTGCGAGAGAGTATTTAATTAAAGAAGTATGTATAAAAGTTATAAACGAGTTGCATACTAAAATAAATTCAAATTTATAAAACAATATAGAAACCATTCTAACTTCAAATTAGTAACTTGGGAATCTGTAAATTTCAAATTATTAGGTGTAAATCGAAATGTATTCCTTTAAAATGTACTAACCACCGTTTAAATCCGATATAGAAGCAGTTTTTCGTGGTGAAAGTAAAGATAATGTTTTATGGGCACTCCACGGTGCAGTCTCCAACGAAATTTTTATTGGTTAATCAGTTAAATCTAGTTTACTGCCGGCTAAATCAAATGTTCAATATAGTACATTAGATGCAAAACTCGGTTTTTGCAAATTTTTAAAAATATAAATTTTATCCTATTTATGTACATTACTGCACTGCATACAGCATACCTAAGTAAACCAGATGTATAAGTTAATATTTGTAGAATAAAATACATTTGTTTCTTCCTGTCGGATGCAAAACTCGGTATTTGCTGTTGACCAATCACGTCGCTAGTATACGCATTACGTGACGACATAAAAATCACCTGATTAATTGTTATTTTTTGGTATTTGCACTTTTCACTTGCAAAACTTGGTCTTTGAACGAGGAAGATGCAAAACTATGTTTTTAAATCTTTTGATTACAATTATTTACCAAAATACCTAATTTTAAAGGATTTTTTTTTAACTTTTTTGAATAAAAATGATGCAAAAGCACGTCTATACAATTTTTGCATTTTTTTTTCAAAATTGATCTTATGAGCGTTTTTTCATGTTTTTCTTAAAATCACTTATCCTGCAAATACAGAGTTGTGCATCCAATGTACTCATATATTGTATACAACGTGCATTTAACCTTTTCAAATATTGGCGTTGAGAAACTATTTAGTATTTAGTATTTTTGTGTCAAGATAATAAAATAATTTTTACAAGAAAGGCACTTTATTTTAACGATTGTATGACATTTGACTGTAAACTAACTTAAAACTAACTTCAGCCCGTGACTAAAACATGTTGCTAAAGTCAGCTTAACTAGTAAATGTGTATTTAAAAAGTTACTTAGTGTAATGGAAACATGTACAATAATGGACGTTTTAAAGTTGGGAGTAAAAAATTAATTAACTATTTTTTTCAAATGGTTTAGTTAATTAATTTTTTACTCCCAACTTTAAAACGTCCATTATTGTACATGTTTCCATTACACTATGTAACTTTTTAAATACACATTTACTAGTTAAGCTGACTTTAGCAACATGTTTTAGTCACGGGCTGAAGTTAGTTTTAATACTACATTGCATTTATTGTTCCTTCCAAATTAAAATTAAAGTAACTTAACTTAAGTTTCTTAACAAAATATTGCTATGAAAAATAATATTGTTAATGGCGTACATGTACTTTGTACTTTTTTCTTTAACCTCGAAAACTAAGCAAGCTCGAAAAAAAATATTAATGTTTTTTGTAGTGATGAATTAACACTCAGTTTTTAATTAAATAAATCAAGTATTAATATAATCGTAAACCTTAAAACTATAAAACCAGATTTTGACTAAACCTATTATTATAATTATTATTATAATTATTATTTTAATATATTTCTCATTTTATAATAATTATAATTATTATGTATACTCTTAATATTTAACTATTTTTTCCCAAATAAATTTGAACTGTTTCTGTAACTGTTTTAGGTTTTAGGTTTCCACGTACTGACAATAAAGTATATTAAAATTTAAAATTATATTAAAACAATTAATAAAGAGTTTTAATTTATGACGACGAGTTTTAAATATAATAAGCTTAGTAGAGAAAAGTGCCCTAATGTGAAATAAGTATTTTTTTTAAACAAACAGTTGAAGACGGAAAACATTTATCCCCCATTTTTTTCTCATTTACTAACTTTGGTATCACACTCATTTTACTTATTTATATTATTTAATTATTTGAAATTCCATATATGGAATAGTTGGATTTTTACTAAAAAAAATTTTTTGGTGGGCTCGAGGCTCAAAATGACTGCGTTGGATCTGAGTTCGACACTTGGAAGTGAAAGATAATTACCTACTGTTTTTTTGGTTGTTTCTTTATAAATATGCCGTTATTTCAAAATTGGGTACCTTATTTTGATTTTTGTAAAATACAATTAGAGAAAAGTCGCCTATTATACGGTATATTCCTAATATGCGGTAGGCATGTATATTTGCAACCAAACTAGATACATCTATTTTATTGAACAAAGCACATCTACTAGGCTTGTATGGATTTCTACTTAATATTAAGGTAGTTGTCGCGGTACAATATTGTCAAAAAATTTTAGATTATACGCACCGTAAAAGTATACGAGCTTGTAGCTAAGTGATTCATAATTTTTTCGCAAGACTGTACCCTGGAGACGTTACCTTTACGTAATACTTTCAAATATTTTCATAAGTTTTAATCCGGCAATGTCGCTTATGCTCAACCAATAGATATATTGGAGACTGAATCAGTCCGTTTGAATTTACTGTGGAAATAATATCATACTCGCGTACAGCGTTTCCAAGTTGTTTTTATCTGACACTAGTGTATACTTTTTACAAATTGTTGAACTTTAAACGGTTATTTATAAACAATTGGACGGTCAAAAATTTTTAATTATTTTTTTTTAAACTCAGCAAAAATACATTAAAACACTGTTAGTTTTTTGAAAGCTTCTGACAGTTAGTTTTTTTTTATAAAGCCGGGTCTACAATTGTCGCAGGGGTCCGATCGCAAAACATAAGCTTGCGCAAAGCACCCCGCGACGTAGCGATGAAGCAAGATTCTTTTGTCAGCTGGGTGCTTTGCGCATGCTTAGGTTCTGCGATCTGCGACTTGCGACAATTGTAGACCCGGCTTAACTAAGAAACTGGTACAGAACTACAGAAAGCGTATACAATCCATGTTAATTATCCAATTTTTAATTGAATTTATCTCGGGTTATAGACGGCCAATCAACTTCAAATTTTAAGGATAATTGTATTGTCATGTCCTTAATAAGTATACAAAAATTTAAAATTTTCTGATGGTATGCTTACAGCACGACAACTACCGTTTTTGTGGTGATATAAGTTTTAGCTGGTGCTTATTAAAACGGTTGTTTTTCAAATACAACGTCTTTGTTATGTACAGACTAATAGTAGGTTTGTTAATATGTATTTTGTGCATATAGGTTTTTGTTACTGTTTTTATTTAAACAAAAATATTTCATTGTTTAATATTTGCCGAACGCGTCCTAATAAGGGGTACCACAATATTCCTAATAAGGGGTACCCCATATTAGCGCCAGTGGCGGATTGGGGATTTTGGGTATACCAATATCTCAGTTATTAGACATGGGACCCACACCAAATTTATAATAGTTTATTATGACATTAAATAGACAAGTTCGGCGCAAACAGAATTTAAATTGAAGTTTGCGAAAAAAAGTTAGTTTTTTGTGTCACCTCACCTGGCTTCTGCTTCCCCATTTGAGATAATTCAAATTAAAGTTGTGCAATTTATACTTCACTATAATTTATCGGTAAATTTAAAATTTTATTTGAAAAATCCAAATAATACAGATTTTATACCATATTAAATATTTTTTTATTATAATAAAATAAATAATAAAAATTTAAAATCGTATAAAATCTGTAATATTTGGATTTTTCAAATAAAATTTTAAATTTACCAATAAATTATAGTGAAGTATAAATTGCACAACTTTAATTTGAATTATCTCAAATGGGGGGCCAGAAGCCAGGTGAGGCGACACAAAAAACTAACTTTTTTTCGCAAACTTCAATTTAAATTCTGTTTGCACCGAACTTGTCTATTTAATGTCATAATAAACTATTATAAATTTGGTGTGGGTCCCATGTCTAATAACTGAGATATTGGTATACCCAAAATCCCCAATCCGCCACTGATTAGCGCCATATAAAGTCATAGGACGACATATGACGTCAATATGACGTGCGATGCTACTTGGGTTGTTTAGGTTATAATATATTTTAAATAGCTCATTTGTTTTAAAAAAAATCCATTAGACAAGGTTTTAACGTAAATCTGGACATCATATTCAGTTTTTATAACTTATTTATAACTATGTTTTTTATATCAATAAAATTTTAAAGTTGTAAATACCTTTTATTTTTCTTTATTTTTTTTGTACTATACAATTGCACCAGATATTTTTTTCAGGTACCTTATAGTAGGTTATACCAGGACCCCATACCTGGTGGCCTTCTATGTGGTAGGCATAGAATTTTTTTTATTATATTTTTATATAAAAATTATAATGTTTTAAGGATTTTTTTATATCTTTTTATATCTTGCTTGTATATTAAGAACCAACGTTACCAAACTGAAAAATAAACAAAACTAAATAAAGAACAAAATTATTAAAATTAAAATGGTACCCCATAATAGGCGACTTTCCTCTGAAGCATTACATTACATTATTGAAACGATTTTTTTCTTGTCAAAAAAATAAAATGCTATTCCATATATAATATTACATATCGTGTCAATTCGTCGTTAATATAATATAACAAACTATTGTATATAAAAAAAAATCTATTTTGAGATGAATTAAAAACGGTGACTTTATATGCAAATTAAAACTTCGTCCTGAAAATAATAAAAATGGAGATACGACACTTTAAAAAATTAACGACGATGACATGTTTTACATAAATATATTTTCTGAATAAAAGCAAATGCGGTTTAAGTCTACTAAAAATTGCTTTTTTTTGACTAATTTTTCATGATTTTAACACTTTTTTTTAGAAAACATGGATTTACTACAGGAACTAATTCTTGTATCGGAAAAAGCTGCCAACGTAGCGAGAATATGCCGCCAGGATCATCATCTGTTTCAATTGTTAGTGCAAAAGAAAAAAACGGACGAATCGAACCCACGATTTGTTGAAGATTTCAAGACTCTAGCCGATGTACTTATACAGGAAATGGTCAAACACGACATTGGAAACAAAGTAATTAATTCAACAGAATACTTTATTTAAGGTCTTCCTCATTTGAATGCCTTATTCCTCTAGTTTCCAGGGCTTGCCAATGACATAAGAGGAGAGGAAAACAATACTTTTTGTAATAAATTGCAAGAATCAATTACTGTTCAAGTAATGGACACAGTGAGTGATACATCCAATTTACTGCAACAAGTCTTGAATGGGGATGAACATGCTGCAGAACTTTTGGCAAAAGAAGTTCATGCAGAAATTAAAATGGACGATGTGAATACTGAGAAAGATTTTAAACCTTTCGAGGTGGATATCGATAATGTTGGGATATGGATAGACCCAATAGGTTTTTATTTGATTTTAATAATTTATTAAATATCAAAAATTATATTTTTAGACTGTACTGGAGAATATATAAACGGAGTGGATGTGGAGTTTGAAAATAACATTTATTTATCAGGTCTTCGCTGCGTTACTGTTTTAATAGGAGTATACGACAAAACCACCGAGCTTCCAATAATAGGAATTATCAACCAACCATTTTTAGAGAAAAATGGTTTAAAGTAAGAGTAACTATAAAAACTAAAGTGAAACGCTTATAATATTTTTTACTTTTGATTTTATTGTTTAATATTTCACGATTTCAATTACACATGGCATTAGGAGGACATTAAGGCCATGAATTTGGCGCCTTGGGTAAAATAAATAATTTTAACTTAAGATTATAAATTATTTATAAAAAATTGTCATTTAAAAAAATCATGTGCGCTAAGACCACACGGCTAAAGTGAAGCTTATTTTGGAAAATTTAATTATACTTGTGTTTTGATTTTATTTAATTGATCAATATTCATTAGGGGGCATCCATTAATTACATGGTATTTAGGGGAGGTCGAGCCACCTGGGTTATTTGTAAACAATTCATAAACTTATTATATATGAATAACAGTTAATAAATATTCATTAAATAATCAAATTTAAAAAAAGTGTGGAACATCCAAAAGTGGACGACTCGGTGTAATTAATAATAGTGGTAATTTGATAATAATAAAATAGTATAAAATAAAATTTTATAAAACTAAACAAATTTATTATCAATAATAACATTTTTTTAAGTTTTTATCATTAACCATCTGTAAATATGGATTCAAATTGACATTTTTTCCTTTTGTGGCTCCATGTAAAACGAGACTTTGAAAGAAAAAAAGAAAAAGCCGAATTTAATCAAATTAATTCAACTTAAATGATGAATTTTTCGCGATTTATATATAACACTATAGTGTTTTCAGGATACATACATTTTTTGGCTGCTTGACCGGATTTTTTTTGTTTATGTGAAATTTTTTTGTAATTATTATGTAATCTCTAAAAATTGATTTTAGTGTACACTAAAATCAATTTTTAGAGATACTAGAATGATCTTCATTGAATTATCAGAACAGATACATAAGTCTCCGTGGACGGAATTAGAATGAATATTCTTTCACAAATTTTAGTAGTTTTTATTTATGTATATTAGTGTTCTTTTTTCTTACTGTGATTCTACACAATAAGGAATTTCCATTCAATTTTACTATAGGTGTGTAGTAGTCCAGTGACTATAAAACTGTCTTTAAAATCGCCAAAATTGCCTTACGGATTAATGGAAGCCTCCTTATGTTATACATATGTATACACATGTTTTCAATTAGGTACACGGTTTTAAATAAATTGAATTTAAGGGCAGTTTTCAATTATGCATTTTGTTCAAATTTGGGCAGTTTTGAGTTACTCGAAATCTGTCATTTTTGTTGTTACTTTTGGCATTCGTTATTTTTAACACCTGTCATATGATTTTATTTTTGTACAAAATATAGGTACATGAAACGTTTTAAAATGGCTAATATAACATAGGAAAAATAATTTAAAAAATAAAAAATCGAAAGAAAAAAATATTTTGAAAACATTGAAAAAAAAACAATGTGTAACAAATTTCTCATCCAAAAAGATATAGGACTTAAGTGCATATTGTTGCAGATATGCTACAATCAGTATTTCCGAAAAAAGACAATCACCAACTGTTTTTTTTTCAATATTATTATTAACCTACATGAAAATTATAAGATTGCCTTAACCCGCTTAGGCATCAATCAAGGACCAATACTTTCAAATCATTTTATCAAAATTTTATAAGAGACCAAAAATAATCACCAATAAATGATTACTTGAGAAAATAAAGTTTGGTCACTGGCGCATGTACTAAAAAATAGGGGGGTCAGTGAGTACTGGACACTCCAATTTTGATTATTTGACAATTGTTTTTTGTTTTGTTCTCAAAAGATGTAACTATTTATGTTGAAGAAATGTACTGAATTTCAACTTAATACATATCTTATCAATTACTAGAGTTATTAAAAAAATCAGTTTTAAATTTCAAACTTTGTCGCCCGGTATAAACAATTAAATAAAACTGTTATTTAAACTCAATCAATGGTCAAATATTTTTTCTTCACTATGTTGCAGATATGTTGCACCATGTCATGTACTTTGTTATTCGTTATTATTTTTTGATTTTAAATTATTAAATTCACCAAAAACTAATAATGATTAGTAATTATATAATTATTATTGTATTATGTGGAAAATATTAAAATCCCATAGAATCCTATACATATATATATTTAAAGTTTCTCCTCTGCTTTGTAGATGGCGCGGCCAGTGCGTTTGGGGAGTTTCAACGGATTCTTGCAGAAAATCTTCCATACAACTTTCCAGTCCTAGAAACCGTATTATTAGCATGAGCAGCAGCGAAAGTGTCGAAGTTAAAAACAAATTATTAGAAAAGGGATTCAAACTTGCGGAAGCCTCAGGGGCAGGATACAAGATTCTCACTGTAATTTTAGGTAATTTAATGAAATGTAGGTTAAGGTGCCAATTTTGCACATGCAAAAATTATCTGGTACTTACATATACATATATTTGTAACTTTGCAATCGGATTTTATTTCTTTAGGTATTGACTTAATTTTTAAGGCTATCTAGATTTTATTTAGTTTTTATTTTTATAAATATTGCTTTCTATCCTATCCTTTGATATAAATTAATAATCTCAAGACATAAAAGGTTTGCCCAGCTAACAAAATTGATTATGTAAGTGTTGTTAGAACTGCTATACAACACATATTATAGAAACGCTAAAATTGTATAATGCGTTTAAAAACTACTATACAACACTTACTCAACCAAAAAGGGCCCCGTTTTATAAAACAGTTTACTTCGTTAGCAGTTATATAAATACACTACACAACCCTTATAAAACTCAGTATCAGTATACTGGGGAACTGCTATACGATTATACTATAGCGGTTTTACTCTGCAGCTTAATTGCACTTTACGAATATTTATAGAATATTAAAACAAGCATTTTATAAGTATGTTATAATGCGACAGAATCGTTATAAGAACATCAATTTGTTTCCTTCTCTAGAAATTAGGAATGGAGTGGGAAATTTTTATCCTAAGACTATTTTATAATGCGAATTATGTTGGATGTCAAACGGCTAAGATCCAAAATGGTGCTTGTTGTTTATTATGTAAATATAATTATTAAACCTTTGAGATTTACGCTATCAAGGACAACATCTTCCTGCGGAGCAATCTTTTCTGACAATATATGTATATATTTTTAACGAAAAATTAAAGCGCCAGTTAACAAACATACCTACTAAAAATTATTTAAAACAAAAAATTAATTTTTTATTTGACAAAGTTTCATGTTTTTTAAGAATATTATTGTTTTATTTGTTCAGTTTATAATTGACTAGTCTTAAGATTACATTAATTTTTTTCAAGAAAATTCATTTTTAATTGACAGTTTTAACGTTTGTTGGTAAAATTCACACAATGGCGGCGATTTATAAACAATTGATCGGTCAATAAATATGGCGTTTTTGTTATAAAATGGTTTTGTCTTTATAAAAACGTTATACAATTTATCTGCTCTGTCGCGTGCGTTATACGATATTTAGGTTCTGTAAAGTTGTTTAATACAGGCGCTATAAAAGTAAAGCAAGAAACTGACATTTGAGATGTTGCCAGATTTTATCTGTATTTTTCAAATTATTTGTTTTTTTTTAGAATAAAATACTCATTTTTGGTGCAGTTAGGTACATCAAGTAAAATTTTATTTATCCTGCACGACGTTACCTTCATTTTTTATGCAAATAAGGATTTGTAGGTAACACTGCTGCCTAAAATAACAACCCTGTAAGTTCATTTTTCGTATTGGCTATAACGCCTTTGCCTACTGCGCAATAGAACAATAATATCGCTTAAGGTATGCATTGTACCGCACTATACAATTGTGTTCTGTTTTATCCACTTTTTAGCGGTACCTTCTTTATCTACATGTGACCTAACCTATTTTTTTGTTTATAATCTGTGATAAATACCGGCAAATATTTCTACGTTGAGTTTTAAAATTAAAATGTTTAAAATCGTTATAAACAGACTTAAGTAATAAAATTATAACGCAGAACTTGCGATAATTTTATTTTATAAACTTTCTATAAAGAAGTTAATGGGTGTAGTTATAGGATAATTATAAAATAACTTTATACTTATTGTGTAGTGTGTTTACTTCTGCTTAAAAAAACAATTTTTTAATGTATCTTATAGAGCTTCAATACAACTTTTATACAAATTCTATTACAACTATCATAAAACGTTGAAACTACAAGTATAAGAATAGGTATACAACTCTATTATAACTTTTATACAACTCTTTTAAAATAATTTTATAAGGGATTGTATAAAACGTTATACAATGGTTAAAAAATGTGTATGAGTTTGGTTCTATAACATGAGTTGTAAGAATATATATACAATAATGTATTAGAATTTCGTCGTTTTTACGATAAAATTATTGTATTAAGACGCATTAAACAATAAAAATGTTCTTTTTGCAGCTCTAGACGATAGTTATAAAACAATTCAGTTCTTTAAGGGATTTATTTTGCTAGTTGGGTGTTTATTACAATTTATAGAAATTATAAATTAGAATGTAGGTATAGTTTATTATTAGAATTTATAGATTTTATAAATTAATATTCTCAAGACATAAAAGTTTTGTTTATTTGGATTTAAAAATGTGTAAAAAAATATTATATTTTTTTACATATTTTATATTAATTTCAAAATTTAAATTCATTTAGAAAAAATAATTTTTTAACAATTTTAAATTGTTTTGATTAATTATTTTTTGTTTTTTTACTATAATATTATGTCAAATAAATAGACCAAGCGGAAACAGCTCAATTATAGTCAAGCACACATTTCAATGCCGGGTTTTATATAGCATTTTTTTTCAATCATTTATATTTAATATTTCCTTAGTATTCTGTTGCATCATCTTTAGGTTAAATTTATCTGACATGATGACATTTTAGCTTTATTTTTGCAGGGAGGTTTATAATAATTTGAATTTTGAACTAGTATTAACATGAAGTCTTTCTTCCAATATATAAACCGATATAAACTTATGAGTGTAATAATATAAAAATTATTATACCTTGAAAAAAATATATTTTTTATTAAAATAATATACCTAATCATTAATAGTATATTATTATATGAGAGATAATGCGCATAATCTCAAATGTTATTATTTGTGGTTCGACAGTGTGAATAAAACACGAACTAAAGTTTATTTTATAACTTAATTACAATTAAAAACACTATAGGCGTATTCATGCTTACTTAAAATAAGAAATAATAAATAAGAATAAGAAATGCGATTGATCGTTCATGCTGATAACATAAGAAATAAAAAATGTTGTCACACAATTATATTTTATTATATTCGCTATAAACGTAAACAATCGACAGCGACACTTAACGCGATTTCCAACACCATGGCTCCATGGCCAGCACATAAAACCCATCAAAATAATTCACAGACCCATTTTGGTTATACGCAAAAATAAGAACCAAAGTTAAAAGTTATTTATCTTCAGTCTTATTTCTTATTTTCATGAACATGAACGCTACCATTACTTTACACAGTTTTAACTTTTTATCTTATTTCTATTTTTATTCTTATTTTAAGTGAGCATGAATGCGCCTTATGACTATAACTATAAAATTATCTAATCACTTAACTACTAATTTTTTATATATCACTATATTTATATTTATTATTTTATTTCGTCGCGAGTACTAAAGCTTGACTGACTAATCAAAGCTCCACTGTGCCTTATATATCCAGGGCGTGGGTTACCCACTTCACGCAAGCAACTTTCCGAACCTTCCAGTAAGCTCCACACCGCTCCCGATCGATCGATAATCCCCGCCGTAAACAAGCGATGAGTCACCAAGGATATTCAGAGATTAAGAGCGGTACTCTCTACAATATACTTTATCTACTCCAACTAGTAGATATTAAAATGATTTTTAAAAATAAATAAATAAAATCTGACATCTGTCATATGGTTCACCTCACTCTCTACAAATTTTAAATACGAAGTGACTAGGTGCACGTTAGTGCCTGCAATTTATTTTTTACGGGCACATTAGTAACGGGCACGTCATCACTGCAGTGCCCCTTAATTTAAAATTGGCACCACGTCAATAATATGATAATAAATTGTACCTGTATATATGATTACAGGATTTCTCATATTTTATTCTGGAAAATTTAGTAATCGAAAGAACTTGTAAAAAAATGTATACATTTTTCTTCTTATTTTTGGAAGTTTCCAATATTATTAAATTTTTTCGAATAAAATCTGAGGAAGCCTGTAATCATACATAAAATCATATAGGTATTAAGAGTACATATTCATATACCTATACCTGTTGTTAGGCGCGGCTGTTATATAATGGTATCATTGTATATGAAAAAAAAAACAATATTATGCAATAGGAGTAGATAAATATATTTATATACATTGTTTTCTTACAAACTTGAAAAATTATTAAACCTAGTTAAAACAATAATAAATATGTATTATTACACATTAACATTAACATTAAAAATTATTAAATGTAATATAAAATTTAAGTTTTATAAAATAATTTTTGATGATACGCGCAGCGAAATTTCGACTTTCGCTGCCTTTTAGCGATTCAAAAATGGCGGATTTCTAGAGAAAGCAGACGACTCAACTTTCGCAGTGGCAAAAAATTAGCTGTAAAGGCGAAAGTTCGATCAAGGATGTATAAAAACGCAAAAAAATATTAAAGATTTTTTATCCCTATTTTTTAAATGGCAGCGAAAGTCAAAATTTAGTTGCGCTTGTCATGAAAAATAGTGTACATTAAGGTGGAGCGAAAAAAAATTTTTTTTTTCCTTAGCTTGGGGGTGGAATTTGTAGCCTATAAAAAAGAAAATTAAAAAAAAAAAATTTTTTTACCCAACGTCTTGAGGTGGCCCACTGATTTTTTAAATTAAATTTAAGTTAAAAACGAGTGGTCGTAAATTTTTTTTCAAAAGTGTTCCGGAAACTGCGGAGTTTCCTCTTTCTTGCTAATTAACAGTTATGTTATCAAATTTGTTTATTTTTAGATAAATTTGAAGATTACAAACCAAAACAAATTTTTTTTTATTCAAAAGAATTTTAACTTAAATTTAATTTAAAAAATCAGTGGGCGACCTCAAGACGTTGAGTAAAAATTTTTTTTTCAAAAATTTTCTTTATTTATAGGCTACAAATTTCACCCCCAGACTAAGGAAAAAAAAAATTTTTTTCGCTCCACCCTAGTATACATATATCGTGGCGACAGGCGGCGAGTTTTACACTCGATTTTCTCGTGCTGCAAACTTCACACTCTTCAGAAATCGCTCCTTTTCGTCACTTGAATGGTATATTACACTATGATAGTTTTACAAACTTTTTTTCCTAACA